CTATTATTGATTATATGCGCTATCTAGTTATGATACTAAATAATAGGAATGACTCGCTAGCCGATTGTCTTTACTACAATGAGTTAAATTCATGTTTGAATTGCTGTTATTGGCCTGTATTTTAAAATCTGTCAAATAGTTGGGCTTTATTTGATTGTTTGAGAAGGCATAATTTTGCCAATGAATTTCGCTTCACAATGCCTTGCACTGAAAAGCGACTCTGAAGTATCCCTAAAGCGAATAAAATGGTAACACAATATTAACCGATAGAGTCTTGAGAATGCCAAGGCATGCGTTATGCTGTAACGGTTTTTCTTCGCAGGCCTCAACAAGGGATGTGTGACTCATAATTCCATAATCTGCATCGAAGTTCTGATATTACTAAACTCTAACTCACTGAAATCACCTTGTTACATTATAATTCACTTTGACGTTGTCCAAAAAATGTAATTACTTGTTTAGCACTCTCTTCGTTTGTAGACGCTTAACTTATTGTCGATATCGTTATAGGCACACGCATGATTATAATCCGTAGCGGCCAGGCTGGTATCATAAAATTTGCAATATTATTCACTTGGGCAATCAAAGGCCCACCTTCAACTCAGGCATCAAGACCCTCAGTCTGGCGATTGTGGCAGCCACCTGGGGCCAGGAGAAGTTGGCTAGTGTAAGGGTCAGGACGGCCGCCAGTGGATGAGTAACATAATTTGAAGGAATCCAAGTGGCCACTGTCGCTGAGTGATGGCCTTGGCTAATCCGGCTCTTGGTTGCCTCGGCCGAAACAGCGGTAGTCGGTGTTGGAGGAACAGTCGATGAAGAGGCCTCTAAATTACTCTGAAACGAAGATTGTTTTGATTGAGCTGTCTCAAAGAAACTGAACGATCGTTTTTGTTTACTGCTCGGTAGGGCCGAGATTGAATCTACAAGTTCCTGAAGACTAGACAAAATAAAAGTAGAGAGAGGGATTCAGGTAAAGGAGATGAAGTCTTGAAGGAAGTAATAGATTTCGAAATATCAACAGCTACGTTTTTGTTTTCAAGTAAGAGAACACACATTTTTCGAGCGGTTCATTTTTTATCGATATGTTTGATACATTGGCAGAAACGGATCTACAATATTCATCATTGAACATTCCATTATGACTTAAAATTTGAGTTAGAAGGATTTTAATGTGGGCCTCAACGTTATGCGAAATAAGGTTGCCTTAGAGATGTTAATGCCAAGTTGTACATAATAGGTCTGAACGCAACGTTCTTTGACTGCGATGAATCCAGGCTAGGCTTCCGCCTGCCATGAGATAGACATAAAATTGTTATAGGACACTAGCACCAGGAGGCTAGTGGTGTGATCCAATCATAAATCTTGACTCGAATAGATAATTACACTTGTAGTGATTTGTAGTGACAGTCAAAGTTTTGCTACAGTTAGCATCACAAGCAAATGGCAAACCGTTATCTCTCCACACACATGTAACACCACTCAGAATATGATGCATCCTCAATATGTCCCTCTGAGATCAAGCAAACTTAGCCACCGCATCTAGTCTTACTGTTGAACCGATCAGAACATGGCATTTAAAGTATTTTAAGCCGGAATAACTCTGGACTGAGGACTTTTATTTAAGACACTTCTCTTTTCTGTTGCGCCCCCAGTGTTCGAACACAGCTCTCTCACACCGACGCCACACGCCGAAGTCATTTATGTCTTTCTTATCTGAATTCTCTCCATGCAAGTTGCTCCGTTACTCATTATTTTGTTGTACATAGTAATGCGGAGCTGAACACATATTTCAATGCCATATAGATTACTAAATTCCAATTTACTTTCTTAGTATGTGAAAAATAATGTCAAAGGATAATTATTCCAACTCCGATTTCTTACTAAGGATTCACCAATACTATCGAATTATAGGTATTATGGGCATGAGTAATAAAATTAATTCAATTTGCAAATACAAGCTTGTTCCATCAACAATACGGCTATAAAATAAGAGACGAAAGAGGTCTAGCTTGTCCTTAAAGTCACGTCCCTCCTTTAATCAAGTGGCACCACTGTCCTTATCACGTAGTGGTTAAATTTTACTACTTTATGAGCACGACTCTGGTTTGATTCTCAATATGGTGCTGAAGAAGCCCATACCAGGTTGAGCCTTTAATCCACTCTGGATAATAATGTCTCTCAGGGGGCAAAGCTAAGTGAATTTCAATGGTATCGTATGCTTATAGAAAGTTTGCATCACCTTATGCGACCTAAGTTGGCTACAATTCTTAGTTAAGATCTACTTAAGTCCCGAACCTAGCTATAAGAAAGTAATATTTCCCGTAGCTATCTCATCTCCATGTCTCAGTGAGTAACATCTTTAATAGGCGGGCTCCTACTTGTAATTGATTTAATTACACCTACTTTGTGATTTTAAATAGAAGTCAGAAGAAAATCCGCAACGCCCTGAATAGCGAAATGGAGTGTGGGAAATTAAATGAAAACGAAATTTAGATGCAAATAGCTTTCGAAAATATCGGTAACTCTTGAATGATAATTAATTAAGATTATTTAAAGAAGTGACAGTTGAGTTTTCTTACAATGAGATGAGTAGGATTTGCGCTTCCATTGAATTGCACTTAGCTTCGCCTCCCAGAAGGTTATATTATCCATGGTGGCCCTCAGTTTCGACTAGAAAATATGAGTTGAGGGAGGCCTGGTTGCCATGACTATTGCATTTGCCTGGCACTCTTGGCCGTGAAGGGAAGTATAAACATAATCATTATACTCAAGAGCCGGAATTGAATCCTGCTGAGTGTGCTGGTGAGACCAAGACAAGGCCGGAACTGAAGTCCACCTCGGATGAGATAGCCTTTTGAGAGGCAAGGTTAAATTAAATCCAATGGTATTGAAGGGCTTACTCATCCAATTGTAGGAAGGTTCAGCTATCAGTCTTTAAAATCTCCTTAAGCGACTTGGAGTAACTAAATTATTATTCTTATTCTTTGTGAAAACTACTTGTGGCTGTTGGAAAGTAAAGCTGAACTAAAGGAGAATACTTGAGTAGAAATGAGTCTGCCTAGGGCTATTACACTCAAATCAACGCATAAGCATAAAATATAAACCACAAATGTGAAATTGCATATAATTATTTGCCTTAATATCACACTAACAAAAACCGTGAATTAATCAAGGATACAACTGTTCATTCACACACATTTGCTTCACACGCTAATAGTGGTCATTGGTTACGACACCAATAGCCTAACAATATATTACAAAGGACGCATAGGAGAAGCATGAAATGGCCGACAAAAGCCTAAAATGTTTAATTGAGTGTGCAAAGTCGGGCTATAAAAATTAGGTAGGATTACAGCTAGTCTGATGGATTTTTGTAGAGCAGCATTTCACGCTCGGAGCAATGTCACATAGCAGACGAAAGTTTACCAAGATTCATCAGCACCTTTATTGCACAAATCCAGTCACAACACTAATACACTCTTCCTTCGGTTATCGGAGAGGCCAAGTTAAAGGTCCCCTTCACTCTCTTTTCCTCATTAAATGAAAGGTATGAAAGTTCTATATTGTTTAGAAGGCAAGCTAACTTGATAAGCCACGAAATAAGCAATATATATATATATATATATGCACGTATTGCTGAAAGTAGTCTGATATGAGTATGAGCCATTGAGTAAAAGGGTTCCAAGTGGAACTAATTATGAGCACAATTCAACCCGTCTATAAATATCAAAATTTTTTAGTTGAAGTATAAGTATAATTTAATCGAAGATATGGTCGCAGTCTCCTTACATTGTGAAGAAGTTGTTTAACCCTGTGTTCGCAACTTGGTCATACTGGTAAGAAGACTTATAGGAACACACCTAGTCCGGAGTCAATTGTATTCCTGATCATTTAAAAAGTCGGACCGCGGACGTGGTACATTCCCAAACGTTTGCCGGCATCTTAGTCGGCATCTTCAGCGAATCTTGCCAGTCTTAGCACGACACTAAAACTCGTCAAAGAGACAAGTGAAGCCAATCCTTTGACCAAATCTGTGCCAACCCACAATTGTTGTGGTTCAACATTGAACCTAATCAAAGAAAGCAGTACCACAACATTTGTGGGTTGGCACACAAGAGACTAGGGCATAACAAGTCATAGACTTGGTATTAGGGATAGAAAAAGGATAGACGCGGCGGAGACTGGAGCTAGTTGGCTGACAGTAGGTTTTATCAGAGACGTGGTGCATGTAGCAAAGGCTTGACCATGAGACTCACTCAGAGACTTTAGCCTCGAATTAGTCACTTAGACGCAGGGGATGAGTAATAACGCCCCGAGTAGCACAGATGGTGTGGCAGGTGTCAAGTTAAATACTTGAGCCAGGGAGCAAAAGGGAGACTCTGATAAGGCCTATGGAAGGAGGGCTGCGTAACAATATGGCAGAATCTAATCCACATTCCCAGCACAAGGGTGAAAGGGGGTGAGAACACCAGAGGGGAGTGTGGAGGGTTCTCATGAAAGCCGCTCAAAAAAGCACACCACTAGGCGAATAGCCCAGGACAGGAGAGATACCACAACTGTTTAACACACGTTTGGTCAAAAGATCGGCTTCACTTATCTCTTAGACGAGTTGTAGTTTGGTGCTAAGAATGGCAAGATTCACTGACGATTCCGACTACGATGTCGGCGAAAGGTCTGGGAATGTACCCCGTCCACGGTCCGAATTTGGAAATGATCATGCATACGATGGACTCCGGACTAGGTGCGTTCCACTAAGTCTTCCTACCAATTTTACCAAGTTGTGAACACAATGTCAAACAACTTCAAAGTATTATATATACGATTTGGTGAGAGACAATAAAAACCAAATGAATAAATAAGCAAACGCGAGCATTTATAGATTAAAAATGATAAAATTAATGTGATATTACACCACTTTGCTAATATTCTTTTATATAGTATGTAGAAAAAATTTGGCATCGATTAATCCCTTAATAGATTCAGGTTGGAGTACCCTTCATTTCGTTTAAGGAGGCGAGTTTAAGGGATTCGTAACTTAGTTCAACCGGATGCTGTGGGGGGTTGCCTTGGAGCTGTAGTTGTAGATTTATGCGAATAGGTCCTCGGTGTACCATCCTGCGACCCCGAAGAATCCTTGCCGAGCTAACGTCCGTCATGTGACGGACATCGTCAGAGCAGGACACCATGCTTAACGATAATTAAGCAAAAACGTGAAGGAAAGGAAGGTGACCGGCTTTAAACCTAATTCCTTCTTATATTACAATTTGGTCCACTTAGGCATCTCATGTTTTGGTTGGATGCTCTATGCCTTGCCTCTATATTTCCTCATAAGTTAAGTTAAGAGGCTGCAGATGATATGTGAAGCGTGAAATGAATGCAATTAAAACAGAACAGCTGCATCCTTCCCTAAAACACTTATGCCTTTGATCTTGCAATAGTACCGCGTGTGATTTCGTCCCATTGCACACGTGTTGTGTAAGTGCATTGCTTCTGAAATGAATGTGACGTAAGAGTCAAAACTAAATTCCAACCTAATCAAGCCTTCTCCTCTTGTTTGGTGGTAAGTCCCGTTCCCTCCCCTCCATCTCTCTAAGCCTGTTCAACCGTCACAAGAAGTTTCCGCTTAACTTTCTACATTCATTCCTTCTATTTAGAGTGTTGGCTGTTTTGTTGATTTTTATCACCTTCCTAATCTTTCGCTAATTGGTATAGTCTCCATATCCAGCTAAGTGCTTGGCATTAGACCAATCTATCTGGCCATGTTTTCGGCCAATTCCGATTCTGGACCCACACACCCTTGCAGGCTGTTTTGTGTTCGGATAAACTCTTATGTATCGGTCTACAGGTCTATCCCAGATAGGCACTACCACATGAACATAAAATCTTGTGACAGCCCGATCTGGAGAGCGAGTCAGAGTATTATGGAAAAGAAGGCAATACAGAGGACAGTGTTATTTTCTCTTTATAAATGGTCCTGATGTCCCACCTCAGTAATTCGCCTATCTTCTTTTGAAAGATTAAACGATAGCAGCATAAGTATCCTGGTAAAGTGATCTATCGTTTTATCTAGGCCCAAATATGCATTTCCTTTCATTCTAAAATAGTTGTCAACCGGTCCTCCTGGATAATTATTCTCAACCAGAATTCGCTTTAGTCTCCTCAGTTCCTGATACCGATGTTTAACATTTGCCAGATGCAGGTTACCTATTATCATAGACTTCATAAATCCTACTTTAGCTCCATAAGTGCGGTTGGAAAAGAAATTCAATAGGAAACCTGCATTGGTGGGTTTCCTATACACATCTCGACCTAATTTTGTCCCCTCCTTGCCAACTAGGACATCAAGAAAAGGTAGACCACCTTCCTTTTATAACTCGATGGTGAATTTATTCTTCCCATCGATCATGTGCATCAAGCCAAGTAAATTCTACAGGTTTTCTTTCCCATGTTGCCAAATAGCAAAGTTGTCGTCCATATAGCGAACTAATAATTTAGGAACTAAAAGTGTCTCCTGAATTAGACGTTTCTCAGATTGAGCCATGTAATTATTTACTAAAATTAGTGGCGTAGCTAAACCTCGTGTTTGTTCGTACAAATTACCATTAAAGGTAAAATATGTACAGTAAATCGC